ATAAAAATCTGTCTCATTTCCAAACCTGCGAAATGGAGATAATAACAATACATACCACACAGGACTGTTGCAAGAAATTAAGTAAGTTAAAATATGGAATCACTTAGGACAGTGCCTGGTCTATACTAATCACTATAAAAGTATTAGCTATTGTAGCTACTAATCACTATAAAACTATTATGCTCTGGATCTAGAACATAAGCTCCACGAGAGCTGGGACTTTGTTTTGTTCACTACTGAAGCCTCAGGGGCCAGACATAACACATATTTGCTGAATATTAAAAATCTGTTGACTAATATGAACTTCATGCGTTGCACCACAGAAACCCAAAGGAATGAACAGCACTACTGACAACTGAAATCTCCATACTACTTTAGTCTCAACGTTTAGAGTTCATAGAGGGTTTTTATGTACCTTATCTAAAGTGATCCACTGAAGCCGGTATCTCCATCGCACAGACAAACTAAGACTCAGAAAGACTTAAGTGATTTGCCCAAAACAAGGTCTGAGGCAGCCCAGGAATTCTTGAAGTATATTGTACTTCTGTTTACTCCAGACCCCACCCCAAAAAGCTGGGAATGTATCCTACTAAACTGTTCAACTTTCCTTCCCTGCCAATACACAAAGTTTAAAGTCACCAAAACACCTCCCATTAGCTTCAATGTAATTGATGAGAAGGAAGAAAAGAGATGAAATAACATTAAAAACCACTGAAGTTGGCCCTGGCCAGGTGGCTCAGTTAGTTGGAGTGACGCCCCATTCACCCAAAGATTGAGGGTTCCATTCCTGGTCAGGACACATACCTAGGTTGCAGGTTCAATCCCCAGTCAGGGCATGTACAGGAGGGCAACTGCTCAATGTTTCTCTTCACAGCAATGTTTCTCTCTCTCTCTCTCTCTCTCTCTCTCCCACTCTCTCTCCCTTCCTCTCTCTCTAAAATCAATTAAAACATGTTCTCGGGTGAGAATTATAAAAATAATAAAATAAAAAACTTTTGCAGTTGGACAATGGGTCAGTGGGATTGATTACAGCCTTCTTTCCACTTTTGTATGTCTGAAACTTTCTATAATAAAAAAATTTTAGTCCTGGCAGGTGCGGCTCAGTGGATTGAGAGCCAGCCTCCAAACCAAAAAATCACCAGTTCGATTCTCGGTCAGGGCACATGCCTGGGCTGCGGGCCAGGTCCCCAGCAGGGGGTGCACAAGAGGCAACTCCACATTAATGCCTCTCTCCCTCTCTTTGTCCCTCTCTCTCTAAAAATAAATAAACAAAATCTTTTAATAAGTTAATTAATAATAAAGACCTTATTTCCCAACATAAAGTCTCTCACTTCCAACTTTCTATTGAGCACACCCAGGTGTGGGGGAAACACCACAGCTGAGAACCTGCAGCACTTCTCAGTCTGAGGCAGGGAAGAGAGTGCTGGGAATCAGGAAGCTTGTCTTAGCTCCGCTTTAACTGGCTGAGAGACCTCATCCCCCCATCTAACTTCTCCGGGTCCTAATTTCCTCATCAGTTTCCTAAAGGACTAAAATTCTGATTTCAACTTTCTACTAGCTCCTTAATCTCAACACAAAGCCCAATTCATCGTTCTCTATTCGAAACCTCTGAGACCTGTTCTTCCTCCCAACTTCCCTATTCCTGATGTCCTGTTCTGCCAGCCACCCAACCATAAAAACTTCAACATCATCTCTGACTTGAGACATAGACCTGACTGTTCCCTTACCCTTCTAATCAGTCAGCAAATCTTTCTGTTCAGCCTCCAAAATATCTTTTTTTCTCAAATGAGAGAGGGAAAGGGAGGAAGAAAGACAAAGAGAGAAACATCAATTGGTTGCCTTCCATATGCACCCCAACCGACTGGGGACCAAACCTGCAAACCCAGCCATGTGCGCTGACCAGGAATCAAACTGGCAACCTTGAAGTTTTCCATCCAACTGAGCCAGGGTCAAAATACCTCTTGAATCCATTACCTGCTTTCCATTCCCAAGACCACCAATTCAACTCAGGCCCTCATCATCCCTCACTTGGATTATTACCATGAACCAAACTAAATTCCCTGTCTCAGGTTTCTTCACACTACCAATCCATCATACCGATCTTCAGTCTGACATTTAAGATCTTTCCAAAACCCAGTCCTGACCACTTGGCAGCCTCACCCTCCACTATGTTCCTTTATGTATCCCAGGGTCCAGGTAACTTGGATACGCAGTTTCCTGACACCTGCTTCATTTCCAAAACCACCCCCCAGCCTTTGGCCAAGCTATCCTACCCTCCCAATGCCCTCTTCTTCCCATTGCTTCTAATCAGCAGCGGCACAATTGAAAGGCCGCCTCTTCCGTTGAAGTGTTCCTCCACATCCCCAAGGGGGCAGTATCACTCCCTTCACTTACAGCCTAAGCAGTTTGTCTGAATCCCTTTTATAGCACCTATCAAATTTCCATTAGTTCTTTCACTTCATTGGGTGCTCCTATTCTCCCTACTAGAGGATTCCTTCCTTGTCTGCAGGAATGATGTTTTATTCATCTTTGTATCCCTCGGAACAGAGCTGCTTAAGAAGAGTGCCACGGCACAGTGGTCTATACCATGAATGAATTAAAGGTGCTCCACCAGGGACATCCAACCTCTTGGCGTCTCTGGGCCACACTGGAAGAAGAAGAGTTGTCTTGGGACACACATTAAAGACACAAACACTAATGAAAACTGATGAGCAAAAAAAAAGGTTTTAAGTAAATTTATGATTTTGGGTTGGGCCTCATTCATAGCCATCCTGGACCACATGCAGCCTGCAGCCTAGACGGGACACCCCTGCGTCTAGACAGTGATTCTGCAGCCCTCCAAGCAGCCACCAAGGGACTTCAGCAGCCAGAGTTCCCAAATGCTCAAGCCTCAAGCATTCTCAACCAGACAGATGCCATTATGATGACTTCAGGAGCATTCAGAAGACATACCGGCACACGGTACATAGCCGATGCCCAATAAGTATTTGCAAAATTGTACCTATTCCCCTTTCAAACACTATCCCCAAGATCATTTAACATATAAACCAGACCCTCTTTGAACATTTTCATGGACATGTTCTAGTTATCTTTTTAATAATCACCTCTTTATTTTCTGGTTATACTTGCCTTACCATCCAAAGCCTACATCAATAGTTTAATGCATAAAATAACCTAGAATATGAACAAACAATTCAACATGAAGAGATTCAAAGAGTAAAGTTCAACATTATAAAAAAAAGAAACACAAATGCCACTTTACACTATTAAATGAGCAAAAACTTTTAAGGAAAAAAATGTATTTCTGTCCAGTTATGGTAAAACAGAAATATCCATGTATCTGTTAGTAATACAAGCTGATAAAAAAATTCTTGGAAAACGTTATGGCAAGCCATAAAAACTTTCATAACATGTAAACAATAATGTACTCAAAAAGTTTATCCTAGAGATAGTAATTACTCAGGAAAAAAATACACTAACATCTACAATAACATGGGTTAAAGCATCAACCGAAAACCAGCCAATAACATAAATACCTAACATAAAAAGATTTAAATAAATTATGAGAGAATGATGATGAAATATTTTGCAGCCTTTCAAATGTTATCATATAAATTAAATAGCAACACCTTTAACATGGAAATGTTTCATGATTTAATACATAGAAAAAAATTCAAAATATATGCATCGTAAGTTAAAATGAGAAAAATATATCTCAGTGGAATGCTTAAAGAAAATCAACTATTTTAGTGGAATAACCCCAATTTTAACAATTTATTTAATATCATAATTTAAGACAGACAGTTGCACCATACTGAGGAAACAGAGGGGTTCCAGGACACAAACTTGATACAGTCTCAAGAGGTCCCCCCCTCCCTGTACTGTTCAATCTGGCCTTCACTGAACGCTCTCCGGCACTCCTTGTCATGATGACCTATGACACCCCCAGACCCTCGCTTTCCAAAACAACAAACCACCTCAGTCCGTCTTGTGATCATCCCCATGGCCCTGTTGCAGATGAATCATGTAAAACAAACATATACTCACGAAACAAAGAGTCCCTGCAACCAACTTATTATTTCAGCAATCAGCAAGTAGTCAAGCCCATATTCAACTATAAATCCTAAAAGTATAGAGTATTGTCACATTAAAGTCACTGGGATTCTAAAATAACCTGCAGACTCAGTGGTAGACTGAGTCACAGTTAAAAAGCAGCATGGACTCATGGATAAATCGAAGATCTAGTGGCCAGGAAACCTCCAAACAGTTAAAAAGGGAAAAAGTGTTATTTTAACTACAAGAAAGAAAAAACTAAAAATTCCATCTTAAAATAAATGGGTAAAAAGTAGCAGGCAATGTCTTGTAAATCTTACCCAGCTAGAGTCCAAAAGGCAGGATGGCAAGTATTTTATTAACACATGAAGCTTTCTGCAGCTGGTGATGTCCAATAAAAGACTAGTATTGAAAACACATTACAAACATACCTTTAGCACTGATGCCCCACAAGGACAATATTAAAAGTCTTCTAATTGTCTTTCTGTAGTATTACCACTTTCTAAGTTTAATAATGAAAGACCAAAGCACTACCATGGACTGAGAAGATAAACTATTGTGAAACAATAGATATTTCTTTACTTAGCAGAGCACTTCAGCAAAAGATAAATAATTTGAAAGACTAATACAACCATTGTGTGGAGGGATCACAATCATTAGGAAAAAAGCATAAACTTTTTCTGTTGATAGAAACAAAATCTAGATACTGTTCTCAGTTTCTAGATCCTCAAAAATGCAGATATATAGTTATTCATGACAATATATACATAGCAGATAACAGGGAAAACAAACAATTCAAGAGTTAACCAAGTTCATCAGAGCATAAGGTGATTACCACTCAAGAATGTTGACACAAAAACTGAAGGACCTCTCCAGTTCCAGTCATGCTGATAGGCTGAGCCCCCGTGCAGTTACTCATTCAGAACAGAAGTGGAAGATTAACCTACCCTCACTTCTCTTCAAACAAACTGACACAGTGGCAGGCAGTCTCTTCGGAGTCTGGTCGGCATCATCCAGTCTGTTCCAGAAGGAGCCATTTCAGTCAAGACCCGTATCTTCAGGTTACCATTCTTCCACCCTGTCCCACCTCCTACTTTCTGGCCAGAAACTCTAATCTAGATTAAATCTTTCTTGTCTCTTTCTCAGGTTTTACCAAGTTCTTGTTTTCTAAATAAGGCTCCCCTAAACTTTACTCACCTGCAGTTCACTGCACTGGGTATCACCCAAATAGCCCATCAGAGCTCTTTATAATTTCTGAAAGAGAGAGAAGGGAGCATTTAAATAGATAGTAGAAAATACCATCGCTAATATATCAGTTCTGAAATATTTGTACCCAGTATTCACATGTACATGTACCCAGTATATGGTCTTTTGGTCCATAGTATTTCAATAAAATGTAGCATAACTAGCCAGGACCAAGAGTCCTGAGATAAGAGTCCAGAAATATAGTAAGTTTGGTTTAATGTTTCTACTACTTAGCTGTGTGACCTTGGACAAGTCACCTGGCTTCTCCAGCCTAAAAATCCTTGTCTGGAAAATAAAGGCAGGCTAGACAGAAGTGGGAGAGCATATTACAATGGAAAGAGCACATGCTTTCCAAGACAGAACACCAGCACCACCACTCACCAATCTGGTGACGTTATGTTAGTTCACACTTAGTCTTAATTTCCTCCTTTGCAAAATGTAAATAACAAAGACTACCTTGGAGTTGTTATGAGAATTAAAGGAGAGACGAGTTATAAAAAGCCAATGGTAAGGATACTGTGCAGCATATCATATAATTCCACAGATGGTAATTATCACCATTACCCCAGCCCTAAACTTACATGCCTTCAATTCACAAATATTTATATTCTTAAAATGTCAATAAATCAAAAACTTTACTAATCTGACAATGGAATGAATTGTTTGAGTGTTTCACTAACAATTCAAATAAAGTTATGTTCAACTGATGGTAGTTTAAAATTATCACTATTACTTTACATCGCAGGAAATAAGAGTGGAATAGTCCCTCTTAATAACCTCTTAATAGCATAACCTCTAAACTGATTTAGGGGCCACACCTTCCTCACCTCTCCCCCTGCTTTCACTGCTACCAGTATAGCTCAGCAACAGAGAGACCTCACAAAAGCCCAATGCCATCCACTGTTTTCCATGGTCAGCTCAGGGAACATGACTAAAGGTGGAGGAAAGGGAACAGGTTTTTCTTCTTATTCTTTTTTACTTCATACACTTAAGTGCTGCTCAAATTTGCTTACCATAGCATGCATCAGTTTTGCATAAAAATAAATGAATAAAGGTAAAAATTTAAAAACAGTATTAGTTACACATATTGCTTATTGATAGGAAAGTTGCCTTACAGAACTATTTTCACAAGAATTTCCACAGGAGAAAGCAAGAAGGCAAATTCAGTTGTGCCAAGAACACCTTAAATGTGGCCCTGGAATAACAAAAATCACAAGCATTCACGCTGTGGAACGGTTCAGTCAAAAAATACGCTAGGGCCCTGGATGGTGTGGCTCTGTGAATGGAGCACTGGCCTGTAGACTGAAAGGTCTCTGGTTCCATTCCTGGTCAGGGCACATGCCTCGGTTGTGGGCCAGGTCCCCAGCTGGGGGCGTGTGAGAGGCAACAGATGTATGTTTCTCTTGTACATGGTTTCTCTCCCTTTCTTCCTCCCTCATTTTCCCTCTCTCTAAAAATAAATGAATAAAAATATTTTTTTAAATATGCAATGCATTCCTTAGGAATATGATGAATCAATCAGTTTTGCTTCTCTATTTGTTTTTGTTCAAAAGCAAGATGAATACACAAACTCTGGTTTTACTGGACAACTTTCTGCTCTTGGAGAAACTGATCCAGTAAAATTTACACAAGTAAACAAGTTGGTATGACTCTTTGGTAATATGTTGAAAAGCTTTCAGTTTGTTTCAAATAACTGATAGCTTTAAAAAAAATTTATATGTAAATTCAAAGTCTTCATGTTACATGCACATTATTATTTTTTAAAAGGAATATTAACTCAATTAAATTCAGGATTACTCAAAAGTATTACCCAGCCACTCTTAAAGTTACAGATCACTGTGTTTTATGCTCCTTCTAGCCAATGCAATGGAAATAATCCTGACAACTCCCACCAATTTAAATAAACGGTAAGCTGATGTGGCCACATGCCACACATTTCATAGTTCTCTCCTAGAAAACATTCCAAAATATTCCTTAGAAATCAAAGTATATCTATGTGTGCACTTATCTAAGTTTATGTAAATAAACAGCCAGAACAATTTGCTTATAATTTTTAAGTAGCCCCTCCCCCCCTTGTGAGTTGATAAACTTAGCCCTAAATCTTCTATTCATTTGAAACAATAGCCAAAGGACCTTATTTCTTGTACTGAGCCTATATTTGGATCTTAAATATAATCTGACAGACAGTTATAGGCTAATTTGCATTTAATATTAATACCAAGCCTACCCAGTACAGAGAAAACAAAAATGCATGTATAAGATCTGGTCTACTTATTTGTAGGTCCTTCTGTGATATATTCTTAGCCTTTCATGAACATGCTGTATATTTTTAAACTGCACAAGGTCCTTTGCAAGTAGGAATGATTTCTGTTGTTTAGCATCACTCCCCTCTTCAGTAAAACACTGGGCACTCCATAAATGTACAGGAACTTTAAAACAATGCACATTAAATATTTATGGTATCAGAAAAATTAAACTTCTTGCTAATAATTGCAAAAGTCAAGCTTACCAGCTGATAGAGAGGTACTTACTGGCTCCCAAAAACTACAGCCTTACCTAAAAATAGTGTCCTAGCTTCCCAGCCAAAAGGACAGGCTAAAAAAGCTATGTCTTTATTGAGCTCAAAGACACAGACTTCTACTTCACCACAACCTTCAATACTATGGTATTTCCTATTTTAGAAGACTCTGTGTAACAACTTGTTTGGTGGCCAACCACTAACTTCACTTTGAAGTGAATACTAACACTTCACATGGTCAACACGTGTGAAATTGTGGAAAATATCTTGACACAATTTAGGCCAAACACTAGCCACACAAGATTACCTATTTCTAAATACTAAATTTTAGACTACAAACAAACTTCTCCATAGGCCAAAAAGCAGATCACTGGTTCCTTTCCACAAAGTAATGTATAAACTTAAAAAGTAAAAAATAAAAAATAAAAGGTTCAGATTAGGAAGTCTAAGGCATGAATATGACTCCATCTGTAAGCTGAAAATAAATAAATTTTAAAATCCATATTTGCTCTGCCAAGAATAAAAATAAATGCAATACACACAAGCACTGCTGAGTTTCAAACACAAGCAAATGTGGTGTGTGCACTTACAAAAGGATCTTGGTTTATGTCCACCTTCCTCTCCCAAGTGTTTTTTTTTAAAGGCAAAATGTCAATTGTATGCCTCAATCTGGAAAAAAATAAAAAGCACAGCTTATTCTTCTTAAACAGATGTTGTGATAGATATGAAAAAGTTTGTGAGACGATTTCAAAATCCAAATGCTACCCAGATGTGTTAAAAAAAAAAAAAAAAAAAAACCCTGCAGTAACCAATCTACCATAACTTAATTTTCTCAATAAACCATGGTAGAACATGTTTCAAGTTGAGAAAATTGCTTGTGAAAAATGTAAAATCAACAAACTTTTCTCCTTCTCCTCGGTACTAAATACTGTTCAACACAATAGCAATAAAGTCCTTTAAATCCAAAGCATTAGAAGTTACATTAAATAAAGCAACACTTTTAATTCACACACCATGTGTGACCAGAAAATAATAACCAGGCTTATCCCTAATAAGCTGAAGAAAATTCAACACTATCATTTTTTATTTCAAAAATAACTAGGAAAGAGACAAGTACCATTCCATTTTTCAGAAAATAAAAACAGGAGTGACTGATTTGCCTAAAATAATTCTTTACAATGGAAAGGGTGTACTTTACAAGAGCTCCACAAACAGGGGACACACAAAGTCCACACACATAATCACTGACAGTAGACAGAGTGAGTGACGGACACCAACACACAGACAAAATTAAGACATCTGATTAAAGTTACACAAGGAAATTTAAATAGGCAAACTATAATTACCCCTGGTGAAGATACTGATCAAGGATAGCTGCAAATAATTTTTGGCTCTGGGTAAGATCCTCTATGGCTAAGTATGTTGGAGCCACTGAAAAGTTTGGTACATTTGACATATTTTCCCTTTCTAAATCTAGCCCTGCTATACCCCCATCTGATTAAGTAAGTTATTTGGGAAATAAAGATGGACCCATGAAATTACTAGTCTCAGCCTCACCCTTATGAATTGATTAAAATAAAGAAGGGGAAAAAAGGTTAAATCATGTTTAACTGCAGTCTCACCTTACACATCTCACCAGCACTGTCGTTCTTTAGTGATCAATTACTTCATCCAACTCCTGAGATAAATAGAAAAGTAAAATGTGTCTATACATCAGTAATAGTCATAATCAGTAGCAAACATTTTAGCAGCCTGAAGTGAAAGGGCATCTATATTTCAAATGGAAAAAGTTACCAAAATGGTACAGTATGAGGCTCTGTAAATAAGTCTTACTTCAAAACAAAAATAGTTCCCTTCTGTGTGATACAAGAGATTACAAAATGTTCTTAAAATCCACAACATTAAAAAAAGTCACCTCTTTCAGCACTTACTGACCTTACTTAAAAAAAAAAAAAAAAGGAAAAGAAGAAATGAAGGAGAATAAACCTTATTAATATGAGCCGAGAGGGTAAAATTAAGAACAAACTAGCCAGGACAACTGCCCCCCTCCCCCGCCCCGCCCAGGAATCCACTGTCTGGAGTTATACATATTCTATTAATGATTTGCCTGAAAAGTGTAAGTTATGAAGGAGAAGGAATAACCATTTGGAGTTTCAAACAAAACCTAAGGAACCTAATCCAAAAAGAATCCTTAGACCCTGGCTTCCAGCCCTGTCTGAAGGGCCCTCAGCAAAGGGGAGGGTGTAGAAGGGTCAAATAATTTGAGGGGGAGAGGAATCCAAGTCCCTAGATAAAACTGCACTCCCTGAGCCGTAGAGAAGGGGAGCCTTATAGGAACCTCCAGGAAAGGATAGTCTGTATTTATCTGTGTGGATGTGCTTGTGGCCCAAAGAGAATTTCCGAGGAGGGGGCGGAGAAAGGGGGGAAGAAAGTGAAGCTCAGGCAAGAGCCCTCGGCGAAGGAAGGAGGGGGCGCACCCCTGACCCACTTTTCCCGACGCCCACCCATCGGCCCCCGCCCCACCCGGGTGCAAGTCCGAGCCCTGAGGGGGCGATCGAGCGGGGCGTGGGAGGCCCGCACGCTCCCCACCCCCAGCCGCGACCCGGAGGGAGGCATGCTAGGAGGCTCGACTCCCCCTTGCGGAGTGCCGGGGGCTGGAGAGACCTCCCGCCGGCTCGCGGCCTGGGTCTGCACGGCCCCCTCCACCGCCCGGGCCAAGGGCGCCGCGGCCCCCAGCGGAGGGGAAGGGGACCGAGATGGGGAAGAAGCTGTAAACAGCCTCATCGTCCGGGCCTCGCCTCGAAAAGCCCTGGTTCTCAGGCCCCGCCGCGGGCCGCCGGGGCCCCCAGCCGGCCCCGGGGCCGCCCCTCCCGGGGCTCAGGGGAGCGGAGGGGAGTCCGGTCCCCTTCTCGGAGGGCTACGGCACCTCGCAGAGCGGTCCCAGCAGCAGAGAAGGGGGAAGTCAGGACTTACCTGTCATTACTTTCTACGCCATCTTGGATCCACTTGTCAACGTCCCCACAAAGCATTATGGGTAAGAAAGAGCCTTTAAAGTGACTCCCCCCCACCCCTCGGCCCCCGACTCCCGCCTCCGCCGCCGGCGCCGCCCCTCGGGCCGCACCTCCAGCCCGGAAAGTTGCCCCCGGTGGCAGGCTTGCCAGGGTGCCCTCGGCCCGGCCCACTTCCCTCCTCTGGGACGTATGCATTTAAAAGTCACCCCCATTTTTTAAATGTAGCTTTGGGTTTTTCTCTTTGCTCCAACCCCTGGCCTCCCTTCCCCCCACTCCTCGCCTGCTCGCCAGTTCCCTTTGCCCCGCCGCCCTCCTGCCCTGGCAGACACCCCACGTCTGCATCTAATCAGCCCGAGGTTTCCCTGCTGCTGGCAGCAAAGAGTTGCTCATTGATTTATTTATGCGCATTATGTGTCTGTTATTGCTCCAGATCTTCGGTGCACGGCGGCGGGCTCCTGCGACCCACTTCTCGCTCGGGGAAGCCGGGGGTCGCTTCAGGGCCCGGCAAACCTGCAGACCAGCCGGCGCTATGACTCCTGCATTCGTGGGCCGAAAGGTTCCGGAGCCGTCGGGCTCCAGAATCTGGCGACACGGTGTCCCCGAGTCAACCAAAGTACAAGCGCATTTGGGGGGGATAGGGGGAAATAATAAGCAAAATGTAACTTTTACCCCGTTTACTCTCCCTCCGTCTCCACCCCTCGGCCGGTAATGTGATCCACGACCATCTAGGTAGGGACCCCTCCCCTAGGAATGTGGGCTCTACCGATTCTACACTTTTACCGCCCGGGGTGCGTGCGGATCGTGACTTCTCGGGGCAGGTAACTCGGGGCACGAGCTCCGGCTCGCGCGCACAGGCGCGCCAGCACTCGCGGGAGGCCCCCGAAAGGGGCTGGTAAGGAGGGTGTGCCCGCCGGGGGCCACCTGCCGAGCCCCAGCAGGGTGTTAAGCCCAGGCGACGTAGGGTAGACTGCGGGAACCACTCCCGCCCAGGGGTTGTTGAGGAACGCACGGTCTCCAGGCTGCAACTGAGGGCGCTGGAAGTAGGGGGCGCCCAGACGCTGGCGGGGAATCCCGGCGAGCGACCCCGCCAGCCCGTGCCAGCCGCCCGGGCCTCTGCTTGAGCCAGCGGGCTTTTTGCGGGAGAGCCGAGCTTTCTCCCCGACACTCGCCGCAGGCTTTTGGTTGTGCTGGGTGCCCTGGCGCAGTCTCCCTGGCGCTCGTTGGGCAGTCCCCTCGCTCTCTCACTTCCCGGTGCCTCTGGTCTCTATTTTGCAGGCTTTGGGGGCCTGCTCTGGTTGCTCTTTTCTTAATTTTCCAAGCAAATTTTTAAAGAGGTGTCCAAAGGAAATATGCCCCAGGACATCAGTGATTGCGAAACTGCACTCGGTACAAAATGCTGAATGACTCTGAAATTAGAGGAATGCTCGGGCATTAACCACCCCCAACTTCGGTGCACTGGGAGGGCTTAGGGCCGTGGGACTACCCAAGGGCTGTACGCTCCACCAGACCCTTGAAGAAGCCTCTCTCGAGGAACCTGGTCGGCCACTGACACGAGCCCTGCCCCCGGGGAGCGAAAAACTCCACCAGGCAATTGTCCCTGCCAGATGGGAAGAGTGAGGTGTAGACTCATTAAGGGATTGGCCCGGGGTCAGCCGTGAGGGAGGGAGCGAGGTGGTGAGTCACTCCCAGCCGAGAACGCGGCGTGCCGGGGAGGGACCTCCCCTGAGTCACCCGTTTTCTCGGAGCTACGAGTGAGTTGGGTAACTGGAGTCTGGAGTCAGGTTCCAGCGCAGGCAGCCACGCGGGGCCGTGGACTAGAGATCCGGGATACAGCGGACTCTTGATCAGAGTCCGCTGCCCAGTTAACGAAGGCTCTGAAGCCTCCTTTTTGCGGGGTTCCCCGGTTGCTCCTTCTCCAGTTCCCCTTCAGCCACAAATGTGCACTGATTTAATGGTTGCTTTGTGTTTACAAGATATTTCTAGGTGTGTGGTCAGTTTCCTGTAATTAAACACTAAATATACTGAGGGCAAGGACTGTGCTTCCCAAGTGTTTAAGTAGGTCCCTTTCTTTGCCCGCAGGCCTTAAACCGAAATAGCGCTTCATTTTTCTGCGGGCCTGACCCATTCACTCACTCCACGGTGCATCCTGGTCCTTTCCTCCCAGTACCACGAGTTGCCTGAGCTAGAAAGCCTCCTCATGCTTCTCCCTGCCTCCACTATGACCCCTACAGTCTGTTCCCCATCTGACCAGCCCAGTAACATTTGTGATATTAATGGATTTCATGACTCCTCTGCTTAACCCCACCAAAGGTGTCCCTATCACAGTTAGAATAAAACACAAATTCCTAACTGTGGCCACAAGCCCCTTATGAGGTGGCTTCTGTCTCGCCTTCCTCATCATGATCCCAGCACTAGCCTTCTCTTCCCCTGCAACACCCCAGCTTCCTTCCAGAAGGAACCTCGTTCCCCAGCTCCGATGATCATTTTTTCAGCACTCAGGTCTCATCTCAAATGTCACCTCCTCAAAGAAGACTTTTGTGATTCCCTTAACCAAAGCAGGTCACCTCTCTACTCTCTTAACCCTGGGTTAGAAATTCTCTTATCAGTTTGTTGACTATTTATTACCCCCACCCCCATTGGAGTATAAACCCCATAAGGGCACAGAGGTTGTCTCGCTTGTTCACTTAGGGCCTGGCACATAATTAGATGCTCCACAAATATTTGTTGAATGAATGGCCAAACTTATCAGAGCTCAGGGTGGTGATGAAAGAGGGTGCTGAAGAAGCCTGGAATGAACTGCAAGGGCCCTATCCTTCAACTCATCAGATCACTCCCACTGGGCACAGCTAGATGTGGGCAGATAGGAAGGGAGCTGTGGGGGAATAGCCACTTGGCCAACATGAATGCTGCCCTCATTCCGATTCTGATCTGATGAACACACAGCCCCAAATATTAGTAATTCCTCAATGACTCTGCTTGCTCTTAACTTGTTTTTCCCTCCCCATGACCCTGAGTGAGGAGAGACTCCAAACCTATAGCTCTAGCTGATAGCTTTCTCCTGAGCTTCAGACTCTTATCCAACAATTTATTGGCATCTCCACTAGGCTGTCTCATACACATCCCAAACTCAGCATGTCCAGGAATGAATCCTTGGTCTCCCCACAGATATGTTCCACCATGGTCTTTCTCAGTCTTGTTATTAGCAACTCCACCCATAAAATTGTTCAGGCTGCCCTGACTGGTGTGGCTTGGTTGGGCATCTTTCTGCAAAGCGAAAAGTCACTGGTTCAGTTCCTGGTCAGGGCATATGCCTGAGTTGCAGGTTCTGTCCCCAGTCGAAGAGTATATGAGAGGCAATTTATTGATGTTTCCCTCATGCATCGATGTTTCTCTCCCACTCTTTCTCCCTCCCTTCCCCTCTCTAAAAATAAGTAAAATCTTTAAAATTGCCCAGGCCACGTTCCCTCCTGACTTTCAAACTACCTCCAATCCATCTGCAAATCCTGCTTTGCCTTTAAAATACCCAGTATCTGTCCATTTTCCATCACCTCCATTGAGGCCACTCCAGTTCAATTCACTACAGTCTCCTCTCGTTTGCCCCCATTCAACACAGTCTCCACATAGCTGTCAACAGCAGTTTTGATAAAATTAAATCAAATCTTATACCTCCTCTGGACATGACTCTCTGATTTCCACTCATCTCATTCAGAGGAGAAACCTGAGTCCCATACAATCTGCCTCTTCTCATCTCTTTGACTTTATCTCCCACCTCTCTCCCCCTGGCTCGCTTCAGCCATAAAGGGCTCCTTTTTGATAATTCCTGCCTGCAGTAATATATCCATAAGGCTCATACCCTCACCTCCTTGACGGCTTTGCTCACCTCAGTGAGTCCCTTTCTCATCATTCAATTTCAAATTTCAGTATTCTTAACAAACATTCTCTATTTCTTCCCCTTCTTTTTTGTTATCCAGAGCATTTATTGCCTCCTAACATAATAAGCAATTTGTTTAGTTACTCAGTTTCTTGTCTGTCTCTCTCCCTGTGAAGTGTCAGCTTGCGGAACACCAAAGGCTTGTGTTTGTTGCTGAGAATTACATTTTCCAGCTGTGCCCTTGCATCTAGCTGGGACCACGTGACTAGTTCTTGCAAATGGAGTGAAAGCAAAAGTGCAACTCTGAGTGGGCATGGGGAAATGTGCCTGACCAAAAATACATGTGTTGGGCCCTAAGTTGATTAGACAATAGATATTTAGTATGCTAACCCACTGAGAACTTGTGATCTGTTTGTTATTGCATTTAGCACCTTAATTACTACATCTTGGTTACTCAAGCCCACTAGAATGGAAGCTCAATGAAGGCAAGGACTTATGTAGGTTTTGTTCATTATTGTGTCTATCCTCAGTGTCCAGAACAGTTTGGCAAAACTCTCTCTCTCTCTCTCTCAATAAATATTTGTTGAGTGAATGAATGAATTGCTTTTTCCACTACCAATCATGAAAATTAGTGAATGATTGGCAAAGAAAGGACAATAAGAAAGGGTTTTTGTTGTGGTTAAGAAGTAGAACCTGTGGGTTTTTAAAGAATCATTGGAAACAAGACTTTGGTAAAACTAAAGGAAGTTCCTTTGAATTTTGTTCTCTGTTTTCTCCTTTTCGTTTTCTTCAACCTCTTCTCAAGTCTTTATTCCCTTCAAATCCTCCTTCACTCTCTCTTTTTCCTTTTCCTACTCTTTTTTCCTTTCATGGGTTTCCTTTTCTTCTCACTTAATCTAACGAGAATTCACTGCCTATTAATTTAAGCCACTGTAAGTGCTCAACTAAGAAATCTACTCTAAGTCACTTAAAATGTAGTAGTGGGCAATAACATGAGTTTAAAAAAATATATATTAAATCCTTAGAATCTTACACTCCCCATCGACTTTTTAGCTTAACTTATTTTTTTTAAGATTTTTTGTATTTACTTTTTTTTTTTGGAGAATTTTTTTTTAATTTTATTTTAATTTATTTTTTCAAATACATTTGTCTCTGCC